AACAATAAAGAAACAAGAGTGTGTTGGCCATGTCCAGAAAAGAATGGGAACACGTTTACGTGCGATAAAAGTTTCTCTCAAAGGAAAAATTCTTTCTCATGGAAAAACAATATCAGGAAAAAACCGTCTTACTAATCAAGTCATAAACACACTTCAGAACTATTATGGTTGTGCTATTAGAGCTAATAAAGTAAACTTATATAGCATAAAAAAGGCAGTAGCTGCAATTACTTATCACTGTTCAGAAAATACTTCGCCTGAAGAACGTTATAAGTATTGTCCATTGAATTCATGGTGTAAATACAAGACTGCCATTGAAAATAAAAATAATCAATATAAAAGTAAAGTCAATATTCCTGCTGCTATTGCAGATGAAATCAAAAATATTTTTAGTTATTAGGATTTAGGCAATGATACTTTACTTGAAGTTTGTCTTGTCGGTGAAACACAAAACGTTAATGAAGCTTTGCATAGTTTAATATGGAAACGGTGCCCCAAAAAGGTTTTTGTAGAAAAGATATTAATTGAAGGTGGTTATGGTTTGTTAAGTGTTTATCATAGCTTTGGTTTGCAACCTGGTCAATTTTGTATATACGGCTTACATAAATATGATATAGAACGCTTAAAAAGTTCTAAAAAAAAATCAAGTGATATTGTTAAAAAACAAAGAAAAAAGCTCAGAGCAATAAAAAAGGGTTTTGATGATAAAAATATTGCTACAGAAGGTGAAATGTATGCTTCTGGAACTTTTTAGACTTAATAGTAATTGTTTAGATTAGTTTTTATTCTTTTAATGAGTTTTTCTCAGATTCACATTTTTTTAACTTTGATCCTAAATAACCTAAAATCTGTTTTGTCAAACTTATTGAAATTTTCAGGATTTATTCTTTACATAGAAGTCTATGTTATGAACTAAAAAAATATTATTCTTTTTTTTTTTGTTTACATATTTTTATATGCATTTTTGTACTTCTTTTTGGGGAAAATTACCCGAACTATTGTTATTGAGCAAATAAAAGTTATTCTTTGGATTTATTAATATATTTTTAGTTCAGAACATGCATTGCATCATTATTGATTAGTTTGCAAAGTTTTTTGTAAGTATCTTTTTGCAATAAAAAGATATATTGGAACAAAAAAATTGCATAATTAGGGTATTTGCATAATTATTTTTAAGAATAATTATTTTTTGTAATTTATTTTTTATTTTTTTTATTTGTAATTTTATTTTTGTCAAAATAAATAAAAAAGAGATAACTAAGAACCAATACTTTATGATATAATTTTTTGAGGTATGTACCACCTTAAGACATGTGACTTCCTGTAATTTAATTTTTGGTATAAATTGAAGTTTTATTAATTTGATCATTCATTTCTAATGAGTCTTTGTTGATGAAACACAGTGTTAAATGAGAAAAAATTTTGCTAAGTGATTTTCTACTAATTTATATATATATATATATATATATATATATATATATATATATATACATATATATATATATATATATATATATATATATATATATATATATATATATATATATATATATATATATATATATATATATATATATATATATATATATATATACAAAGTATAATTAAATAGAAAAATACAAAATTTATAATGGAACTAAAAGTTTCATGCCTATCCGCCATATATAATATATAATTCAAGAAAAAAACCGTTAAAAAATACAAAATACAAAAACACCAGTAGAATCAGTTCCAACGTCAAAACAAAACGAATTAAAAAAAAAAGAAAAAAAAAAAGAAGCATAGTTGTAAAACTGCTAATCGCCAGTGTCAAATTGGGCAAGAAGAAATTTGTTTTTATGCCGGCACTTAGATAATATTTATTCTTTTTATTTAACAAACTTGGGTGTTTAAAAAATAAAATTTTGTACTTTTCGTTTATACATAAGTTACATCGTTTTGTTACAGGGTTATAGGCATCGCACTGTTTAATTATTTTCCACCTAACAACCGGGTTCAAGTTTTCATCTTTTAATCTCCAAACCTCCTTTGATAATCAGTGTCATTTTTGTATTTGGGAATTTTAAAAGATTTTATGTGATTAGCATATCTAATTTTAAAAGATGTTTTGCTTATACCAATGTAAAATTTATTGATGGGAGTTTGAACAAGATTGTTGGAACATACATTAGCTTGATATACTATATTTTTTGTTAAGCATTGGCTTGATTAAGGGCAGGTATTTTTATCTATGCAATTCAAATTACTTTCAGCTGATTCTTTCTTGTTGTTTATAACATGGCGATTGTAGGCGTTTAAAACGGATTTCATGTTCGGCATACAGCTACAACTTTTAATGTGTTTCTGTTAAAAATTTTGTCGAACTTGTGATTTATAGGGAAGTGCTTATCAATTAATATTAAAAATATTTAGTTATATTTTTCTATTTAATTATACTTTCAAGAACATTCCAATTCTACCAATTAAAGAATACAAAAAACAATTAATCAGCAAAACCAAAGCATTAATAAAAAAAAATGATGTGGAAAGCGTTTTTCTTTATTAATGATGATCAAAATAGTAAGAACAATACCTTTTATCATAATAATTATGGAATAAAAACACCAAATTACCCTAAACAAATTACTGAAATGTGTGCATTTGAATGAAAGAAAAAAAGAAAAAACTATAAACGGCTGCCTATTCACCCGAATCGAACTTTGAAAAAAGAAATTTGCTTTTATGTCTACATTTAGAAACTAATTTATTCCTCTTATTTAATAAGTTGTCATTGGTGTAAGATATTATGAGATACTTTTCAAATAAACAAAGATTGCAACGTATTACTGTAGGATTGTAAGATCTAGAAAGTTTTACAATTTTCTATTTAATTTACTCCACTTTCTTTCAGCCTCCATACTTCCTTAGATTTTAATTTAGTGTCGTTTTTATATTTTTCGATATTAAAAGATTTTGTATGGTTAGCGTATCTAAGTTTGAATGCGGTTTCACTCACTCCAAAATACACTTTTTTTATTTCTGTCCGGAGTGCCTGGGTACAAAGTGGCTTGATACACTATGTTATTTACAAGTCATTTTTGATTTAGAGGGCACTTGCTTTTAATAATACAATTGCAATGTTTATTGGGATTAGATGCATTGTTTTTCCTTATATGATGGTTATGAGAGTTAACTATTGATTTAATGTTTGACATACAACTGTAACTCACCTTATTTCTATTAAAAATCTTATGGTACTTATGGCCAGCTGGATAGTTGTTTGTCTATTAAACTCAAAAAGAGTTTACAAACTTTTGTAGAAACATTTTTTCAATATATATATATATATATATATATATATATATATATATATATATATATATATATATATATATATATATATATATATGTATATATATATATATATATATATATATATATATATATATATATATATATATATATATATATATATATATATATATATATATATATATATGTATATTATTAATTGATTTATTAAATTTGTGTGGTATGTCAAACGATAGAGAATTTAAAGTACTAAATAATAGTATAAATAACTCCATACCGCTAAAAATGGACTATGTGCGTTTCCCTTGTATACCGACGATATATATTTATATATAGACACATACACAAATTGTTTTTACTATATTTCACAAAAACACTTTTAAGTTTGACATTTTTGTTGGTGTATATGCTTTAACGTATTTTTTAATTTTTTATTGTGTACCACAAAGACCACCTAAATAAGAATAAATAAGTTGTTTCGAGACTTACTCATTGATATTAACAGCACAACTACAAGAGCATCTATTTACAATCATTACTAATAACATTTAAAAAAACCATACCTATGTCACAATCTGTACATATAGTTCATGGTGCTTCTTTTGTCAGATAATTTAAGTATCCTCCAATAAGTTCTTTGTCTGAGAATGCTATTTAAGCCAGAAACAAAGGAAGCAAAACTGCACAAGTTAGTCATGCACGTGTAACTTTTTGTTTATAATTTTCTTAAAAGGTTTGTAAAATTATATAAAATATCGGCGCCTACTGTTTTTGAACAAAAATATCCGAACATATGTAATTTTCCGGATTAGTCAGAAATTAGTCTGGATGAACCAAAAAAAATACAGTAAATTGTTTTTTTTTTTAAAAACCCGAAATTTTTTTTTAATATAGAAATTAAAACAAAAATTAGATGTCTTGTGAAAAAATTAGCTCAATATGTTGATTGCTTCCTAATTTACAAGCCTATGTCCTCATTTTGTATCAGAGCAACGATGCCTTTACTGAATTCTTTAGATGGTTTCCGAAAAATTTGAATTAAGTAGAAAAAAAAAGGATGATGGTTCCAGTTTTTTGACACGACTTTCTAACTGAGGGCGCAGTAAGTAAATTTAAAAAAAAAAAAAAAATACAAAATCGACCTCCCTTAATAATACATGGATAATATTTTATAGAATATATAGTACATACCATTTAATATATATAATACTTACCAAACAATATAAAGACATATCCAACATTTTATGACTTTTTTAATCTAGTGTCTCCTTACTTTTGTAATTGACCACCTGCCCCCTATCTCATATACGCCATTTGCAGACCTCTCTCCCCCATCCGTATAAAAGTTTACTTAATTTCTTAATTAAAAGTTTGTAGTAACTGTTAATTTCTTGTATGCTCACCTAAATACTTGTATATATAAGCTGTTTTTTATTTTATTTCTGGTATGCTCACCTAAATACAAGCTTGTATATATAAGGTGTTAGATATCAAAATAACAGGGTTTTTTTTTTACTTAATTTCTTGTATGCTCACCTAAATATAAGCTTGAATATATAAGCTGTTAGACTTCAAAATAACAGGTTGTTTTTTTTACAAAATGGTTTATAAAAAATAAGAAAATACACAAAATAAGTTCCCTTTCTCACTTTCCAAAAAAAAAAAAAAAAAAAAAAAAAAGTTGCAAATTGAAAAAAAAAAAAATCATGCAAGTTGAACATGTTATATATTGCACACGAGTGAGCAACATGTTCTACAAACAATAAATACAAAATTAAAATCCATTCACAATAAAATATATACATATTTTTTGCGAAATAAAAAATGTGCACTAATACGATAATTTCTAAAAATAAATAGAGTGAAATAATTTTCCATAGTTAAAACAGTGAAATGAACCATTTTAAAAAATATTCTTTTTTAAGGTCTATTTTCTCGAGAAACAAGTTTACCAACTATAAACGTAGTATCGTTAATAGCTGTTTGTGAGGTCACTCATCATCTGAATCATCAGACACTTCTGGAGACTCGTATTCTTCTTCTTCGTATGTTTTAAACACTAGTGAGGCAACCACATAATCTTCTTCTTCCTACAAAAAAGATTTTTTTTAAACTTGTGTTTTTAAAAATTTGCAAATATTTTTTTAATTTTTGTTTAATAAACATATCGAAAAACAGTTGTATATACAGAAAACATTTACTAAAATACAGTCATTAATAAGTAAAGAAAACCTAGGAATTTTTTTTTTTTAATATATATATATTTAAATTATATATATATATATATATATATATATATATATATATATATATATATATATATATATATATATATATATATATATATATATATATATTATATATATATATATATATATATATATATATATATATATATATAAACAATGATATTTTATATAGGGTTTGGCATAAAACACCTAAGTTATTTGAAAAAAATACCAAAATAAACTTCAGATTTCTTTTTATAAACAATTTCAAAAAAAGGGGAAGAATACAATAAATTTTAATTTGTGGAAATATAGTGGGAGGTAGGGTTATGTATAAATATTTTAAAAACATTTTAAAACTTTCTTTATAACTTTTTTTAGATTTTTTTTTTACATTAACAGCAATGGTTAGTCCCACTGTTGAAATAGAAATTATTTTGATTTAGACAGATAGATAGGCCAGACTAGATAGATAGGCCAGACTAGATAGGAACTTTGATAATGGCTGTTAACAAATGAATGTGAAACTTGATCATGGCTGTTAACAAATGAAAATGTGAGTAGTAGTAGTAGTAGTAGTAGTAGTAGTAGTAGTAGTAGTAGTACCTATTTGATCGTGTTTGACACAAAACTCTTGGCAGCCATTGCAACCGAGTTAATGGCAAGGAATCGCATCACTATGTTTTATAAGAAAACATTAACGAAAGTATATGCAAATATCTAACGTACGTAAACTTCAAATTATGTAATGTTAAAAGGTACTAAAACATATATCAAGCTTTACAGTTTTACTTTCACTTGAAAATTACATTGCGGCGACATTTCCTTAATTTTGATTTACAGCATTTATTTTCTTTTTTTTATTATATAGTTTTTAAATTTTCATTACTCGACATGCAGCGTGGCCTAGTGGTAAGCTCATAGAGGTTCTCAACAAAAGTGTCGTGGGTTAAATCCTACCACTAGCACCTTTTTATTTTGAATTTTTCTAGATTTTTTTTAAATACAAATCAAAACACTTTTGAAATTATATAGATATTATATACATAACATATGTAAAGATATTATACACTATAACAAACTAAAGGGAGAGAATTTTTAAAAATGCTTAAAAATTCTAAAAACATCAAAACACTGGGAGAAATTTGTTGCGCTTATATGTTATGATAGAGATATTTATATATGTTACTTTAGTTTTATATTTCAAGCTTTCTACAACTAAGTTGAGTTTGTGCAAAGAAAATGAGTTTATAACATGGTTATATATAGAATATAAAATCTATAGAACAATAAAGTTATTTTGTTTTGCATTTTAAATAACATAAGTTTAAAAAAAAAAGCAAGCTGATGATTTGAACCTGTCAACGGCAAAATAAATTTAATTTATTTTAAAACAATAAGGGGGTTCATGGCCTACTTTAATTACACGGCCTGATTTGTTGCATTTTCCGGAAAAAATTAAGAGGCCAGTTTTTTTACGGCTCAAGTATAAAAACTTAATTTTCTATATGGTTATGAGTCTTGTTTGCACTATAATTAGTTTATTCTTATTTTATTAAAATGGTTTAATAATAGTTAGATTTTGTTTGAGTACTCACACTATTTTGTGCTGGATTTTTTGTTAACTGATCGCCTGTTTCAGTTTATTCTAATAACACAGAATACTAAAATAGGCTTTCAGATAGCTATATCAACACATACCAACATGCTACTAAAAATAACCTTACATGTTGCTAAGATTGTCTTATACTCTTCATTGAAAAAAAATCAAAGGTTTGTAGTTTTGTCTTTTTTATAAATGAAATTAAAAGAAGAAATACCTTTTTACTAGGAATATTTATTTTGTCTTAGCCTTTTTTGTATTTTTTTTACTTGATCTTTACTCAATGAATATGTAACTTCTTTTTGCAAATTGTTATAAAAATATTATTAACAATATGAGATCTTTATTTGATTCCCCACTTTTGGTGCTTTTCATTGTAAAATTGTCATTGCTACAACAAATCTATAAAATTTGTTTTGCAAATTTTTAATTGAAAAAGAATGACTGCAATTTTTTATTTGAATAAGAGAAATAGCATAAAATACTAAACAGAAGACAAATAAAGTTAGACAGGTTAAATTGCATATAAAGGTTCTTCTCTGAATAAAGTAACATTTGTTAATCATAAATTTAGCATAAAAATCTTTTTGTTAATTTTAACATTTATTCCTTGCTTTAGTATATAAATCTGTGCTGTTTTTAAAAAGCTGACACTAGTAATTATGTAGACAACTAAGCTAAATCTTGCATAATTTTTTTTAATGATTATCAAAATTTTGATAAAATATTTTTTGGGAAAATCCGCGAAAATCTTTTTACTAATGCATGTTTCTAATTATACTTACTTTTTTACTAATGCATGTTTTTAATTATACTTACTAAAACCTAGCTCCAAAAGATTACTTTGTAAATTAGAACTAAGAACAACTGCAAAGCCTTCCTCAAAAAAATCATTCATAAGAGATACAGTTGCTTCTAGGGTTGTTATAAGAGCACAAGAAGTTTTTTTCGTTAATGTAAAGTATTTATCAAATTTTATTTTGATTAAATTTCAGTGCTATTTACAATTTCTCTATAAAGTGTGGGTTTATTATCAGCTTTGCTGAGTTTGATTGGATAAATCAAACTCAGCAAAGCTGAAACATAGATTGGATGTTTCTAAAATATGTGACTTGATAATTAATTTTACTTGCCTGTTTAATAATTAATCTTTTAATAAACTTTAAGAAATATATTCCCTGCAATGTAACTAGCAGTAACTTTACATAGTCTCTAGAAAAATCAAATAAAAAAGAATATTTTTTTTTTTTTTGCGTTTAATAAGTTTTTTCTTACATTTTTTATAAAACGAAATATATCAAATAATAAGTATGTTTTATACACTCCTTTTTTAAACTGAATGATAAATTAATAGTTTTCCATCACCAATATATGATTTATGAAACTATAAAAATGCATTAACATTGGTAGAATGATTATCTGTCACAACAGCCCTTATCTTAAATTCAGATTGGCGCATTGAGGTAATACACTCATCAACTTCTTTTTTCAAACATAAACTTGTTATGTAAACTTTTGGTGAGGATTTTAAAATTAAAACAAAAACAACTTTATAAAGATTATTTTCTCAATCTTCATCAAATTGTTTACAACTTTGAGATTGAGCTGCTTTTTGGAAGTACATCTTAACCACAAGAAGCAGATAATCACTTAACAACAAATTTTTGTCAATAATATTTCTAATATAATATAGTTTTTTAATTTGTAATTTTCACCACTGCGAAACCATTTTAATAAAGAAATATGAAAATATGAAATATGATAAGCATTTATTAGGCAATGAAAAATTAAGAACTTTTATTAACAGATATTGACTCCAAAACAGTTGGTATGCCTGATATTTCTTGGCCTGTTTTGTTGCATTTTAATTGCTGTATGTATGAAACACAAGCATAGTAGAGTTTTTACATTTCAAAACGTTGTTTTGCAGTGTAAATATTTCAAAGAAAAATCGATTTTTTATATCTAATAACTGCAATTATAATAAATACAAAAGTACAAACCTTTAAAATTATTTCCAATGGAGAGTTGTGGGTAGTTTTAGCAACATGTAAGGTTATTTTTACTAGCATGTGGGTATGTGTTGATATAGCTATCTGAAAGCCTATTTCAGTATTCTGTGTAATTGGAATAAACTGAAGCAGGCAATCAGTTAACAAAAAATCCAGCACAAAATAATGTAAGTACTCAAATAAAATCTAACTATTATTAAACCATTTTAATAAAATCAGAATAAACCAATTATAGTGCAAACAAGACTCATTACCATAGCGAAAATTAAGTTTTTATTCTGGAGCCGTAAAAAAACTGGCCTCTTAATTTTTTCCGGAAAATGCAACAAATCAGGCCGTGTAATTTAAGTAGGCCATGGGGGGTTTAATAGTGTTTTTATTAAGAACATAATTGAAAACTTTATTTTTATATTTAAAATAAATCATTTCATTGAATTTATTATTTTTATAAATAATAAAAAACTAAAATTACCTAATATTAAAGTAATAAAGAAATTTAGAGTTTTACAGCTTACCATGCCCCAAATAGTTTTATACTCCTTTAATATTAAGAGACAACTTGGACGCTATTAACTGATAATACACAATGCATTGTAAATGTGCACATGGTAAGTTTTTTGTAATTTTTATTTAACTTTTATAAATTTCTTAAATACCTTCGAATCTCATATTATCATTATATTATCAATAAAAGATTTTACATGCAAACTTTAAAAAAAACATGCCAAAAAAAAAAAAAAAAAAAATGTCAGTCCACGTTTTTTTTTGTTGCTCTTTTTTAAAAATTATTGAAATAAAGCAAAATTATTAAAATGGTCAGTGTGGAATAGACTTACCATGATCCATATTATACGGGACATGGTAAGTCTGTTATTCCACATATTTAAATCTATTTCCACATGTTTTTTAAAACTTTTTACACCAATAGTAGTTAAAACATTTTAAGTGAGTATTTTAAATATTATTTAGACAGGTACTAATATCCAATCCATTGATAAATAGTGAATTAGGCAACTACTGAAACATTTAAAGTTTTAAAGCTAATTATAATTGAATTTTTTTTTCTTTAGAAAGTAAACAAGTTTTTCTATATAAGTTATTTTTCTTACTAAAAAATATTGAAGGATTAAGTAAAAAAAAAGTCGGTGTGGAATTGATTTACCAAGACCCGTATTATACGGGTCCAGATAGCTACTTTATCTTATTACTATTTATAATCTATTTAAGTTAATCTCTATTTCATTTTTAAATTTTGTTTTAAAAAATTTGTTCATTAAAAAAATTTAAAAGTAAATCAAGTATTATACATATATACTTTAAAAATTTTTATTCGAATGCCAAATAATAAATTATGTAGAATAAAAATTGTTCTTTGCAGAAACTTCTTTATTAAAAAAAAAAACAGAAAAAATCTTTGCAGAGGATTTTCTGCATTTTTTAAAAATGTTTTTAATTCACCTTTCTTAGGCCAAGAAGGCCACTACAGATGAGGAGGCTACTTAATTGTGGTTTTAACCCTCTCTCAATTCTATAACACAGAAAAACGAACCTTGATGAACGAGGCCGATGCGCAGAGAAACAAGTTAAGCACGGTATTACCAGGGACATGGTGAAGATCGAACTTGGAAACTCTTGCTTATGAAGCAAGCGCTACACTTTTCATTCATCATAACTATGTTAATGAGAATGCAATCAGAATTTACAAAATATTGCTGTTTTATTTGTCTGTGAGACAGTCGTGCCACAATAAAACACTATAGCAAATGTGAATAGGCACTAAAGTTTATAAATGTCTCAGTATGTCACTTTAGTTGATCTGCAAAAGATCCGGTATGTCCCTTTAGTTGATTCGCATTGTGGAAACATTTAACTAGAATCCTTCGCGCATTCTTCCTTACCAATATTACTTATTTGGCCAGAGCCAATATCAAACCACATACCTATTGCTCTTATTGGATACTGAATTTGAATAGGGCCCTCAGTCCACTGGAATTGAAAGCTTAGCTGGCTTTAAAATGGACATGCACAAACTTTCAGGAGGATAACAAGTTCCGTGCATAAAAAGATAGAATTGAAAAACTCATTGATGCTTACAAAGAAATAGATTGTCTAATGTCTTTGAAAATGCTGTTCCTGCATTCCTATCAAGACATCTTTCTCGAAAAGTTTGGAACAGTGAGTGACAAGCTAGGAAAACGCTTTCATCAAGACAGAGCTATGAAAGTTTGGAATAAAAGCATGATGTCTGACCATTGTTGGATGTCATGAAATTTAGACCAAAAGTTTAAATGGAAATTGTACTCTCAACACTTTTAACAGGTTGTAAAATGTTTACTTTTATTTATAATTATGTTAAAAGTTCTCTTTTATGTAAATTAGTTGTTTGCAGGTTATTGCAAATGTTTGATTCCCACAATATTCCTGGTATTACCACAATTAACTAGTTTCTCCGCTTAGCAAAATTGTTTGTTAATGTTAATGTTTTAGAGTTTAAAAAATTAGTGATGGTTGTAAACACAATAAAAAGATGAAAAATTTATGTTTATATTTAAAAAATAACAAAGGTTCTTAGTCCCAACCGAAAAATAATTTTATAATAAAGTTTTTTATATTCAGTGTTATTTTACTAGATAAAATGATTTAGAGGTATTGGATGGTGATTTTCAAAATATTGTTGTTTGTCAGCCCATCCTAATATATATTTTACTTTTTCCAAATAAATGGTTTGCATTAAATGTGATTTTTTGAACACTTTTTTTCATATTACGTACATTTTCATAATACACAAAAATGTAAATAATTTAAAAACTATACATGCTAAAACAAAACTGTAACCGATTCGGATTCAGCATTGAATATACATTAAGAAATGCTTATTTTTGTGTGTGGTGAGAAAAAAGTTTTTCTTTTTGTGTGTGATGAGAAAAAAATTTTTTTTTTGTGTGTGATAAGAAAAAAGTTTTTTTTGTGTGTGTGATAAGAAAAAAGTTTTTTTTGTGTGTGTGATGAGAAAAAAGTTTTTCTTTTTGTGTGTTGTGAGAAAAAATTTTTTCTTTTGTGTGTAATGAGAAAAAAGTTTTTCTTTTTGTGTGTGATGAGAAAAAAGTTTTTCTTTTTGTGTGTTATGAGAAAAAAGTTTTTCTTTTGTGTGTGATGAGAAAAAAGTTTTTTTTGTGTGTGTGTGATGAGAAAAAAAATTTTCTTTTTGTGTGTGATGAGAAAAAAGTTTTTCTTTTTGTGTGTTATGAGAAAAAAGTTTTTCTTTTGTGTGTGATGAGAAAAAAGTTTTTTTTGTGTGTGTGTGATGAGAAAAAAAATTTTCTTTTTGTGTGTGATGAGAAAAAAGTTTTTCTTTTTGTGTGTGATGAGAAAAAAGTTTTTCTTTTTGTGTGTAATGAGAAAAAAGTTTTTCTTTTTGTGTGTAATGAGAAAAAAGTTTTTCTTTTTGTGTGTGATGAGAAAAAAGTTTTTCTTTTGTGTGTGATGAGAAAAAAGTTTTTCTTTTTGTGTGTGATGAGAAAAAAGTTTTTCTTTTTGTGTTATGAGAAAAAAGTTTTTTTTTTGTGTGTTATGAGAAAAAAGTTTTTTGACCTGCGTTACAAAGTTTAGGTTGAATTTTAAAAATTAATGAAAATTTTCAAAGTTAAAATAGAGCTACAAAAAACTCACCTCTGAAAACAAGCGTTCATCAGTTTGTTGAAGTGTTTGTTGAATTTTCAAAGTAGAAGCTTTACGAGCTCTTGCATAATCACTCTAGTAAAACAGCATTTATAAATCAATACATTTTAACTATTGTTTTACAATATAAATAATACTGACAAACATACTTTCAACCAGTTATGTTTTAAAGCTTCTTCAGCAGATAATCTCATCCTTAAATAAACATTGGAATATATAATATTAAAAAATGTAAAATATGTAAACTAGCTTTTAAAAAATAATCAAGGTTTCATCAAGCTTTACAATTAACCTGAAATTATTTAAGTATAACATTTAAACAAAATACACTATTTTGACAATAAAATACCAGTTAATACATGGTGCTCTCCTGAGATCACTAAAATAAATTTTGATTTTTTTTGTTTCTTTATCATTATTGGGTTTGGTAAAGTTTTTGAAAAGGCTGCTTACACACCAAAAGTGTTTGAAACAAAAAAATAACACTAGATTTAAAATTTTTTTGATTAAAAAATATTTTAAGAGGTCCCTTAAGACCCTTGGACATTTAACAGTCCCTAATTTCAACAAAAAAAAGTTCTTTGAAAATCGGTAAACCTGTTACTCAAATAAAATGAAAAAAAAAACTTCAAAAATTTTAATTATTTTTCTACATAATTTTCCCTCGTTTTTTTTATTTGTTTTTGATTATGAAATATGGATAAAGTAATTTTATTGAAGTTCTTTAGTTTAAAATTTATTTATTTTAACTATATATATACAGTCACAGACAAAATTTATTTATATTAACTATATATATACAGTCACAGACAAAATTTATTTATATTAACTATTTATATACAGTCACAGACAAAATTTATTTATATTAACTACATATATACAGCCATAGACAAAATTTATTTATATTAACTACATATATAGTTACAGACAAAATTTATTTATATTAACTATATATATACAGTCACAGGCAAAATTTATTTATATTAACTATATATATATACAGCCACAGACAAAATTAAGTATCATTGTTGATAAAATTGATACTCTAACAATAAAAACAAAATTATTTACGTCAAGAACTAAATAACTGCAATAATTTTGTTTTTTTAAAAATTTGATATATTATGAAATTATGAAATATAGTGTTTTGTCAATAGTTATTTATTAAAAATGATTATTATTAAAGAGATTTTGTTAAATTTAATAAAAATAAGCATTTTAAACTATGTTTTTTCATAATTTATTTTTAGAAAAAATAAAACAAATAATAATAATGGTTCATCATCAAAATTATTCATTGGATATTCCATCTCGGGTTACTTGTGATCGAAAAATTGGCTTAACCTACAAGCAATGTGCAGAAAAATATCAAATATCAATAAGGAGTGTTTATAAGATGTGTATAAAATTTGAAACAACTGGTTCTGTTGAAAATCAGAAAAGATTTAGTCGCCGTCCCTAAGACTTCAACAAGAACTGATATGCTAATTGCACGAATAGCAAAACAAAATTCAACAACAACCTCAAGACAGATTGTTGAAAATCTTAAATTAAATGTGTCCAATCAAACTGACAGAGAAAACTTAATTCAAGTGGTTTAATAAACCGTCTTCAGAAAAGTAAACCCCTCATTAGTGGTATAAACAAAAAAAAAACGCTTAGCCTTTGCAAAAATGTATATATTTACAAGGGTGAGGCATTTTGGAAATCAGTCTTGTGGTGTGATGAGAGTAAACTTCAAATATTTGGCTTTAAAAAACGAAAAAGAATTAAGTGCAGACCTTGTGATGCACTCTTTGATAAAAATCTTAATAAAACTGTCAAGCATAGAGGTGGCTCAATTATGGTTTGGGGATGCTTTGCTTCAAATGGTGTGGGAAGACTGGTGAATGTTAAAAGTATAATGACAGGACAATTGCATGTTGATTTGCTTTCAAAAAATTTATGTCAATCTGCTAAAGAATTGAATGTAGATTGCAAATTCTTTTTTCAACAAAACAATGATCCCAAACACACCAGCAAAGTGGCACAACCTGGAATTCAATTGGTACTGACGTCACGTCAAAGCTTGTAAAAAGCATGCCAAGACATTTAGAAGCAGTTGTGAAAGCGAAAGGTGGTTCAACAAAGTACTAAATGAAAACCAGACATAATATTTTTGTATTTTTAATATATATGATGATAAAACATTGTATATCAAGCAATTGAGCGCAAAGGAGTACTCAATTGTACTCAATAGTACTCAATTGGACAATTGAGTACTATTTTGTGATATTTTAGTTAAAAAATGTGAACTGCATCTATAGAAAATAGTGAGCTACCTTTTAAATTTAATTCATTTATGATTGATCTCTTTTCAAATTTGATATTATTTTTTGATAATTTCTATTATTTTTTTATACTTTATTTATAATTTATTGAAATACACTATAAAAATAAAGTACGCTTTTAAGACATAATCCTAGTGCGCCTATAGAAAATAATCGCAGTGTATTTGATAAAGCTTTGCAATATAAGATCTGCTGCTATCAAAACAAGTGACAGTTTACATTCTTAGATTTCTTAGAAAACAAAAATCTCTTACTAAAGAAGAGCTAATTGTAACAAAATGTATTGCCTAAGCACGCACTCATATTGCAAAGCACTATTACTTTGCAACTAGTTTATGAAAGTAAATCATATTTTTTCAAAAAGATTTTGCTGAAGTCTTTGTCAGTGTCTATAATCTAATCATAACTATTTCTATGGCTACATATCTTAAAAATCATAACTAACTATTTCCATGGCTACATATCTTGAAAATCATAACTAACTATTTCCATGGCTACATATCTTAAAAATCATAACCAACTATTTCCATGGCTACATATCTTAAAAATCATAACTATTTCCATAGCTTAAAAATCATAACTATTTCCATAGCTACATATCTTAAAAATCATTTTCATAGCTACATATCATATATTACATTTCATTTTTACTTTCATATAACATTAATCCAAACGTTACAGGGGCAGTTATGCCCCCACTTCCCCTATACTTTGAAACTTCTTTTTTTTTTAATTTAATGTCTTAAATATACTTTGTAATAATCTTGAATTACTCTTTTAAATATTCAGAATTTTTGTTGAAATTTTGTTGAAACCTTATAAAACAAATATAACTATTGGCTGTATTTATCATTCCTCAATGAATCACCACAAATTCACCACAAATTCACTTCAAACCACTTAACTTAAAACTAAGTGAATCACCGCAAATTCACTTCAAACCACTTAACCACTTTGCTTAAAAAATTAGGTAATGAAAAAAATAATTTTTCTTATGGTTGATTTTAACATGGATCTAATAAGTCTTAATGAATCTAAACTTTTTATTAAATACCTTGTTATTAAATAACTTTTTATTAAATACCTTGTCATTAAAAAACTTGGAAGAGAAAAAACAAAATCAGACTTAATGACTTCCTGGCTAAAGTCAGTTGGTTTTACTAATCAGTATTAATCAGTTGTATTAATGTTTTTAATAACCTTAATACAATATTTTATTATGGAATAAAGGGATAAATAAAAAAAGAAATAGAAAATCTTTTTTTTCTTTGTAAACATTCTATAACTTTAAAACTATGTTGCAGTTAGGTATTTCTAAAAAATAATTCTGATTTAATTTTTCATATGATTAATGAAAGAGGTTTGAATCCTACTTGCGCTGTTGCTAAGATTTAAATTGATGGCAACAGGATTTTCTCAAATGTACAGGTTTTTGATCGATTATCTTGGAGATTCTAGAGTAAAAAGATTTGACTTGTTGATAGATGTTTCAGAACTTAATGGAAATCTAACTAATAAAACCACTAGCTCTGAACAATGTAAAATATTCATTTAATGTAAAATGTTATAATTTATTTGGTTTAAGCTGTCACAGGTATGTTTGTCTCACAGGTATGAAGGGGGAAGTACTCTTGAGAGTGGGGAATAACTAACTTTGGGTTCAACTTACTACAACTTTTTGCAGATGGATTCAAGAATAATTCCATGAAGAAATTTTTAAAGCTGCATTTTTCCTCAATTTGTGTATCACTCTGTGGCCTGATTTTGATACATGTCTTGAAACTAAATCGGGTTGAAAAAAGTGTTCATCACTGACGCTATCAAGTAAGAAAGCAATACAAGCATTGTCTGAAACACAATGCAAAAGAACTTTAAAAAAGTGTGATTAAGTGTGGTATAAAACAATTATATCAAATTTTTTTATAAAAAGTAGTCATTTTCTCTTTTCTTTTTTTTTTAAATTTTTATCCATTTATTGTTATCATTGGTAAATTTTAAGTCATCAAATAACTGCTGAAAGTTTAAAAGTATTATTATAAGGAATTACAATTTCACTTTCAATGTTAAACTTTCGTTACATTAATTGAATTAAGAAATTAGAGCTCCTTTTTTTTACGTCAAAAATTGCAGTTTTTCAAAAAGATTAGTTTTATAAGTGTAGTACCCTTATAACTTTATAAAAATTTATTATATTGTTGTATAAAAATATTTTTAATAACAATTTAAAAAATCAGAAGATATTTTAACAGAGGATTTTCAGTCTAAAAGAGAAATAATTTGCTAGATAATACCTCCCATCACCCACCCACACCATCTCCATATCATAATCTGATGGCTATTACCTCCCATCACCAACCCAAACCATCTCCATATTTTATTATAGGTAAAATCTGTTTTTATAGAAAAAAAACATGTTTAAATGTTTAAATTAAAATTTTTTTTTACAAACACTTTAAAAAAAAAAACAACCAAACCCAGTGAATCAAAATTTATCTCATGAAGTGATTACTTAACTTAAAAATCAGCTTAAAAATTTTCTTTAAAAATTCTTACTCTGGAATTCGAACAAAACACTTGCTAATAAAATCTTTGGCTTCAGAAGTAATAGTTGCAAATGCATCTTTATCAAAGCTCCATTTCACTTTTTGAACACTAATTAAAACTTGCTGTTCATCTTCATAGTAAAATGGTGAAATTCCGCTGAGTCTAAAAATTATAAAAACTTTATTTACTAACTATAGTTAGTTTACACATTAATAAATGTAAATTCTTAATGATTTAATAAAGTGATAAATGTAAATTCTCAATGATTTAATAAATTAATAAATGTAAATTCTTAATGATTTAATAAATTAATAAATGTTAATTCCTAATGATTTAATAAATTAATAAATGTAAATTCCTAATGATTTAATAAATTAATAAATGTAAATTCTTAATGATTTAATAAATTGATAAATGTAAATTCTTAATGATTAAATAAATCAATAAATGTAAATTCTTAATGATTTAATAAATTAATAAATGTAAATTCTTACAGAATAAACTTAGAGAGTATGTATAAAACTTACAGAGTATACATAATAACACCAACTGACCACATATCTGAGCCTGGTAACACAGGTTCAAACCTTAACATTTCTGGTGCTAAAATTGATATATATTTTATTAATCAATTTATATAATTTCTAAACTTAGTTGAAATTTTTCTTTTAAATTTTGCCAATTTTGTTTAAATAATACAAATAAAATAAAAACAATACCACAAAACTCTGTATCGCCAATGACATCAACTACTTCCCCGGCTTTTTTATTTGCTACCATTCTAGAGCTGTTATAATCAAGGAGTTTTATTTCACGCCCAGAAGAAAAACGAATATTTGTAGGCTGAAATGAAAAATATATAGAGATACCATGGACATTAAGCCAAACTCACAATTGTTTTTATATAAACATTTTTATAAATTACAAAAAAATATATTTTGAATGTATACCCTAACATCTAAATGTACAAGATTGTTTGAATGCATGAATGCTAAGATTTCACAAAGCTGTCGAATATAGCCAGCAACATCATCTTCTGTAAGAGCATGCTTATGAGATACAAAGTCTAATAATGTCTTTCCATCACAACTACATTCAAAGAGTTAAAAAAATTCATTTAAATTTGTTTACAAATTAAAAAAAAGAAACAAAAAAATTGGTAATTATTTTTTAAGTAACATAAACAAAAGGATGAACAAAAGAAATATTTCTGTAACAATAATCTTAAAAGAAAGCAGTTACATACAATAACATACAAAGAAAATAGTTATATGTTAAAAAAAAAATCTTTTTCTCCATACTTTTAAAAAACTATTAAGCTAATAATAAAATTAAATTTTAAAAAATTAATAATTAAAGATCAACATTAAAAATAAAATCTGTTAACTTTTAATATGTTGACTAGAAAAGTTTGTAAACAAGTCACTTTTCCATTTAAAACCTTTATTAAACTTTTATTTTCAAAACTAAAAAAAAAACTTTGCTTATTTCCACCAAAGAAATATGGTTTATTGGAAACCATATTAATTTCTATTCTGATTGGAAACCATATTAATTTCTATTTTGGCTACAAAAGTTTAAATTTTACCTTTGAAAAAAAACTATTTTTGGTAGTTAATGACTGATTAATGACTATTAACTTTATGTTTATAAATTATTTTTTTAATACTTAGATTTTATAATACTCAAAATTTTTTTAAAAAAATAGCCTACAGCATGTTTATTTTAAAATATAGCTTACAACATGTTCATTTAAATGCAATTAGATCTACTTTCTGAATTCTTTTAAAAAATCTTTACAATCTTGTTTACATTTCAGATAAAAAAAAAAAAAAAAAACTTACAGATCCATGATAAGAATGAGATATTTTCTGACCAAATATGCTTCATGCAATTGAACTAACTGACTATGACCCATTTTACCACTAGTCATTATGTCATATTCACGAATTGCAAACTTGAGGGAATCAGCATCAAACTTGATTATTTTAGCAGCATATTTTGAACCATTCTTTTTACTTATGGCTTCTTTTACAACAGAAAATTTTCCGCTAAAAAAATTATCCAAAATATCTAAATACTATAAATTTTTTTGGCAGGGGAAAAGGGTAAGAAGTTTTATCAGTCTTTTCCATTTGAAATATAATGTCAGCGCACAAATAAGCACTTGAAGGAAAGTCATTTTTAAGTTAGCTTGCGCAATTTAAAAAAATTTTTTCCTGCTATTTAAATAAAAATAAAAATAGCGAAAAGAATGCTTTGAATAAATACTAGCTAAAGTAATTAAAAAAAAAAAAAAAAGGTAAATTTTTTATTAAGTTGAACAAATAAACAAATAAGTTTTGTTGCAATTTAAAAAATGGCAAGCGCTTTTTAATGCGCTTACAAGTTTTTGAGGGAGTGAGGATGAGCACAAAAAACTTGAGCGCAAAACCTCTTGCTTAACAGAGAAGACATTATTTACATAAAGTTTCATATATAATCTAAAATTTGCATTATATTTACCGTCCGATTTCTTCTCCAAACTCATAATATTTTTCCGGGTTTTCAGCTTTTATACCAGCTCTTTCGATTGGTAGTTTGACTTTTGATTTTTTACCTGCGCGACTAGCAGGAGTAAATATTTTATTTTCTTTTGGTGCTATAATTAAAAAATCACTTTATAAAAATATTTTATTTTCTTTTGGTGCTATAATTAAAAAAACACTTTATAAAAATAAAGAATATTAAAATTATAAACTAAACTATATACATAATATATAATAATGCACTTTTTTATTATATCTTCATATTATAATAGCTTTGATATTATTTCTTTAAGATTTCTTATGTAATTTTTATAACTTTATAAAATTTAAAGTTTACTTTAAAAAAATTGTGGTTATAAATCAATATTTAAATATTTATATCCACAAAATTAAAAAAATAAAAACTCAATACCCTTAATATTATCAATCTTTGAAATAAATCAAATTAAAAGATATCTAATAAACAAATATTTAGCAAACAAAACAAATTAAAGATTGCTGATGAAAAAATATTTAGCAAATAAAACAAATTAAAGACTGCTGATGAAAAAATATTTAGCAAATAAAACAAATTAAAGACTGCTGATGAAAAAATATTTAGCAAATAAAACAAAATAAAAACTCCTAATGAACCAATTCAGCAAATCTAAGGCTAAAAAATCAAACTTTTTATTTATTTTTAAAATAATTATTTTTAAACAGATTAAAAGATTATTAAAAAATAAATAAATTATTTTTTAATTGAAAATCTTAATTTATAAAAACAATATTTTATTTGAAAATAATAATTGGATAGATCACTGTATGACAGTATAAAAAAATTAACAAAAAAAAACAATGATGTAAAAGAAAAAATATTACAGAGCAAAAACTTTCTAAATCAACTTAAAAAGTTTTTACTTTTTAAATGAAAACTTCCAAACAAGACTCAAAACTGTTTAAATTAGGAGTTATCAGAATTGTCCAAAGACTATAAATATAAAAGAATATAAATTAAAATAAAATAAATTTATAACTGTAAAAAATTGTAGGACTCAGTAAAATGTAAAACAGGAGAATTCCAATTTTCAAGAAACTAGATAAATAAATGGTTTTTGAGCATGAAAAAGCAATTAATTGTGATGAGTTATGTAAAACCAAGTTTTGGTTGATGAAAAAAGGTGGTGTTAGCTTGCTTGAGCAGTGACTATGGTAGTAAAGAAGAGAAAGGATTACAACAATGGGACAGAGGCTCAAACTAAAGGAGGTCCAACAACATTTACAATGCCATTTTGGATCTTCCCTAAAACAGAGAATCCTTATTAGAAGAACCAATCCAAAAAGGACAACAAGAAATCGGTGAGCGCAACAGTAAGACAATTTTAGCAGATGCTAAATTTGTAATTGATTGTGTATATGGTTTCCATGAGAAGCTAGTGAAGGAATGAAGCAGTGAAGAAATGAAATAAAAAGCAGAGAAGATATAAAGTACAAGACTCAGTAAAATGGTTACCATTCCTATATACAATATTCCTACATGGATCAAAAGGATCAAATAGGAATATTAACAACATTATCAGCAATAAATAAAGTTTACTGCTGATAATATTGTTCAACATTCTTCTCCAGGTTCTTTCCAGAAACACCCTCCAGGTTCTTTCCAGAAGAACCGGTACTGGAGGAGAGTGTTGTCTATCAAAGACAACTTTAATAATGAGGAAAAGAATGATTTAGTAATTTTAAATTAGATATACAATATGAATCACGCTTAAGAAGACTAACATGCCAGGTTTTATTAAAAGCCTTTGATATGTCAAGAGCCTCACTCTTTAAGTTTAGTATGTATAGTTGAACCTTATAATAATTTTCACCTTCAAAAAAAATTCATATATATATATATATATATATATATATATATATATATATATACACACACAATAGTGTATTTAGATTGTAAACATTGTTGTATATATATACTACAGTGTATTTATTATAGATTGTAAACATATTGTATGTATATATATACTATAGTGTATTTAGATTGTAAACATATTGTTACTACTTTTACAGCATACAGCGTTTTCAAAAAAGAAGAAAAAAATCAAGAATAATAAATAAAAAGATTGCTGCATGTTAAACCCTCAGTCAATGTAGCAACACTCCTTTGCCACAGCAGGCAATAAGATAGTTGATATATGTACTAAAGCCTACAGCAGCAGGCTATTTTAGTATGATATCAGAAATGTTATCTAAACATGCATTTATAGTTATATGACACCTTAGCACGCATACAATATTTTTTTTGGACAACTTGGCCACGGTTTTTTTGCATATTGAAAAAAATGTGCTGAAAAAACCAAGTTAATTTAAAAAGAAAACTAAAATAAACAAATCCAAGGTTCCCACTATTAAAACTGAGGCTGAAAATAAATAATTTAAGGAGATTTAAGGAGATATTTTCCTAATATTTAAAGAGATTTGGTCGCGTATAACAATTTTTTGAAAGAAAAAGTAAGGAGAAAATGATTACATTAAAAAAAGAATCTACATTAAAAACATTACATTAAAAACATTACATTAAAAACATTAAATTAAAACATTACAAAAAAAACAGAATCAAAAAAAAAAACTTTCAATGAATTTTTTTTATCAGTGAAATAAATATATAACATAAATTAACATAAATTACCAGAGCTTTCAACTTTTTTTGATTTTGATTCTTCAGTCTTTTCACTCTTTTTATTTGGATCTGAAATTATTGAAAACTTATATAAGATGAAAATCTTTTTAAATACCAATTAAAAAATTAAAAATATCTTTATTAATATAAATTTGTGACTTGGTAAAAGAAGTGCTTGGTAAAAGAATGTCAATATTAATGGTTTTTCGAATTGAGTGAAACTGTAACTTCATAATGCACCAATAATAACACCTGCAGAACCACTCTATAAAATGTAATAAGAATTGGTGCAAATGTAGCCTACGACCATGCCTAATTGTCAAAAATTTCAGTCTGATTGGTTAACTGAATAAGTATTTGTGTTAGTTTTGTTTTAAATTTTGTTAGTTTTTGCTACTTATACCTCAAAATGTTACTGATTACTGTGATATTAATTTGCTATTTTCAAAATAATGGTTATATAAATGTTCTACAATGTAATACCAACAATTTTTATTATAATTATTTTATTAGTACATGTAACATTTTCATTTTATAAACCAAAATAATGATTTTCTATTTAAAATTTGGTTTGAGTTGGCGATAAAATGCACAGCGCAAAAATCTCAGCATTTTCTAAGGTATAAACTAATGTCAAAATGCATAAAAATGCTAAAAATAGTTAAAAAAAAAAAAAAAGTTTAAAAGATTTATTTTCTATGTAGGTATCCCTAAGTAGGTATCCCTATGTAGGTATCCCTATGTAGGTAATCCCTACATAGAAAATAAAAAATATTTTTTTCCTCTAAAACAGAAAACCTGTGAGAAAACCAAACATTTTTTTAATTGACATAAAATTTACATAAAATAATTAAGTTAACTGATTGCTAAAAAGTTTGGAGGTCCAAAGTTTGGGGGGGGGGGGGGAATCCAATGATTAATTATTACAGATTAGGGTTGTTTTGAAACAAAATTTGGATAAATTTGATAAAAATAATTGCAAAAGTACAAATAGAGAAAATCTCTATCAAAAGAGAAAAATGTTATAAATGGGAGAATAGTTCTTTGAATAGCACTAAAAATTGTTTTTTGGACTGTGTCATCAGATAAAACCTCATCTAAATTGTCATTAAATATGACATCATAATATAATTAAATATCATTAATATAAATAATTATTTTCTTTTAATGTAAGAATTATTCAATATTTATTTCCTTGTAATAATGTAAAAAAGAAACTGCCATTCAGAAAATACCAACTGTGCATTACAGCACATGCCTCAGCTCTTTAGGAAAAGGTTTGGTCCACAAATGCTCTCAAATAAAGTTCAGGGAAAACCTTTAATCTTTAGCAGCAAAAGATGCCAAAGCAGCAAAATGAATCGATCTCAAGTTATTTCCAATAAAGAATTTATTAGAGGAGGTCAACCTTTGATTAGTTTCTTCATCTGCAGTGACTTGAATATCACAGACAGAAAAAAAGATTGTGGTACAGTTCGGGGTATTGTTTATCAAGTTTTTTGAATCATGTTATTCAATATCACAATTTTTTTGCAGCTATTTTGTTAAGCTAGGAATCTATGGTGGAAAAGGTTTTCTTAAGTTTTTCAAAGCATTACCGATACTGCAATAAGGGATGATACCAGCTCACTGCCACAACAACCTCTCACTCAAAAAAGTCAAAAGACTAATTCGTATTGCGGTATCAGAAGATTTGCTAGAAACTCACTCCAATATAGAACAAATCTGGTCACTAATTAATGCAAATGGAGTTAAACTAATTTTTGGCTTAAGATATAAATGTTGCAAATATATAATTGTTTGCCTTCAAACCCATTCAGGTATGCACCCTTGCACATGATCTAATGTCAAAACCAAGTGAATTGTATCCCCTTGTAAGATTTTCAATCTTTTTTTCAAGGTCCTTAACGCTGCTTGGATAGAAGCGGTTAAGTAACCAGCTGCCCTCCACATTAAACTCAGCTGCTCTACACATTAAAGTCAAACCATGCTTTAAATAGCAAATCAATATTTTGGTCTATAAAATAAAAAAGATACATGCACCAATAAAACAATAATAATAAAAATTGTTGAGCTATACAGTCAAAATTTCATGTAATTTAATTTTTTTTACAGCAGACAAAATTGAAATACTTTAATGTGTACACTATCTTTCCGTATAAGTGGCGTTCTTGGGTCAGCTAGGTTGGCATTTTCAGGACCCATAATAATCATGTTAGCCACAGATACATTGGTATAATATATATAATTATATTTTTATTTAATATAATATAAAAAAGTATTAATCAATTAGTGTACAAAAATAGTGTATCAACTTATTAATACATATTAATTAGTGTAATAGTATTGATGTTGTAATCATTACTTGCAACAGTGCTATATTCTCAATGATGTAATAGTAATAATGATGATGATGATGATGATGATGATGATGATGATGATGATGATGATGATGATGATGATGATGATGATGATGATGATGATGATGATGAAAAAACAATCTATAAAAGCATTTTTCATTCATTTCACACTTCATGATATTTATTTATTAAGCATTTTAATCGAAAACCTTTATTATGTAAAAGATTTTTACTTTTAAAATAAAAAGTTAAGAAATTTTCTAGTTATCAAGTTCTGATTTAATTTATTTAATAAGTATTTTCAAATTAAAAACACAATCACTATAATAAATAAACAACCATTATATAACTGTTTTTAATTTTAGTATATTTTTTTAACAAAACTAATGGAAAGTATCTAATTTTTTATGAATAAATTACCAAAACATATGACTTTTTATTTTGAAAATTCTATGTGAAACAAAGAGAAAAACTTACTAATTTTTAAACTGAATGACACCTCATCTTCCCCTCCTTCATTACTTACAACAACACTATAGTAACCCTCATCTGAAGCTGTCAAATCAAATATTTGAAGAGTTGACACTTGATATTTATTAGTTATTAGATATTTTCCTCCACTTTTCACTTGTTTTTTACCTTGAAACCATTTTACTTCAGGACGAGGGTTACCATCATATTTACAATCAAACTTTGTTGTTTGATTTTCATTACAGCATGTATTCTTAGGGGCTTCAATGATTTTACCACATGCTAAGAAAGATATAAGAAAGAAAAACAATGCTTTCTGTAGAAAACTTGTTATCAAAGATGCAGCAATATCATTACAAAAGCATCATATTCAACTTATTCACTTTCATATAATCAATGGAATTACGAAAATTTGTTTGGCTGATTAAGATTTTTGTTTAACAACTTCTATTACTTTTAGTAACTTCCACCTTTAGTAACTTCTACCTTTAGTAACTTCTACCTTTAGTATCTTCTACCTTTAGTATCTTCTACCTTTAGTATCTTCTACCTTTAGTAACTTCTACCTTTAATAACTTCTACCTTTAGTAACTATTATACCAATATTATATTAACACTTTTTAACAGCTCAAGTTAGAAGATTGTATAATAAAGATTTTGAAATAAAAAAACAACAGTTGTGTTTAAAAATGAAAATATTTTTTAAAAGATTAACTTTATAAGATATTATTAATATTATCAATAAAAAGATATAATATATTGCATTTAAGACGTAATAAAACTTACTGTTACTTTTATTTTTATACATCAACTATAAATTTTAAATGTTTTATAAACACATCAAAATATTTTTAAATAAAATGTAACATTTCATTTCAAAATTTTAAATTTTGATATTCTGCAATATTAAACTTTGTAGCATATAATATTTAACATTTTATTTAATTGTTGTTATTATTTATTATAATATTTAATATTTAACATTTTATTCAATTGTTTTTATTATTAATTATAATATTTAATATTACATTTTATTCAATTGCTTTTATTATTTATTATAATATTTAGTATTTATTTAAATAACTGAAAATTTATAATAATCACTCTAAGTTTTATAAGTGTTATAGTAATATATAATTATTTACTAAAGAAGGAGAAAAAGAAGAAAAATAAATTTCAATTAAAGAAAATTCTTAAATCAGAATAAATGTAAACCTGTTCTAACTAAAACTCTGGACAAACACTAAGCACAGTATGAAATTTCTTTTTTCTTTTTTTCATGCATAATAAGCATTTAACAAAAATAAAAAATAAACTGATGTAAAAAGATCTAAGAAACTAAGATATGACAAACAACATATATGTTCTGATTATTATATACCTAGCACTGATTACAAGTAAAAGATATTATATATTTATAAGGTTTTAGTTACCTTATAAATTAAAGATGAGTTTCCACTTGACCATTTTTCTATAGGAAAGGGATAGGAAAAGGAAAAATAACCACATAAGCATGCATAGTTTCACTTTGGACAAATTAGAACTTATAATACACATGCCCACATAACTATTTTTTCTTTCCCTTTCCTGTACCCATGAAAAAACAAAAATTTTACACAAAATTTTGCTAAACTTTGTGTAAAAAATATCACACTTTATTATTAAAGTTTTAAAAAAGGTCTGAGAATGTTTTTTCTTTTCCATACATTGTATAACTGATCCCAAGCATCTCTAATTATATTGTTTAACAAATCTTGTGTATCTTTGAATGCATAAACTCATAAACATGTTGATTAATGTAACTAAAGAGTTGAAATTGAAAAATTTATGAGGATCTTTTGTCATATACTATTTATTCATATTCATATATTTGTGATTATACTATTTTATTTTTATTAAAATAAAAAATCAGTCACCGTGTTTGTGTATATGTTTAATTTTATTATTTTTATATTAAAAAGTTGACATTTAAAAGTATTTACCGTTTACAAGAAGTTCACATTTGCAGCTTACTTCACCACTTTTATTAAAAGCTACACATTTATATTCTCCTTCATCTTCAACTGTTACTTTTTTTATTTCCAATCCAATAACATCATCTTTTTCAAATAAATATCGAAAACGGCCTGCGTCTTTAATTAGATTGCCCTCAAAATACCAATCAACATCAGGTTCAGGTTCACCTTCGCATACACAATCAATTATAGCGGTTTTACCTACAGTTACTTCCAAATTTTGCAACTTCTCAATAAAAACAGGAGCTCCTAAAATATAAATAAGTTTAACTTTAAGAAATCTATGAGTTTTAGATGCTCTTATCTTGGAGATGATTTTTAAAATTCTGTTATTATTTTTTTTAATTTATTACAATACAATTTCAATTTTTTTCATTTTTCATCTTTATTTTCACCTAAAGCTTTAAGCATTATATAATTTTTTTGTTAAATCTTCATATAGTTTCTAAATATATATATAAACTTATGAGAAATTTAGAGGTAAAGTTTAAAATCTAACAAAATAAATCAAAAATGAAGTTATAGTTAATTAGCACAATTTTTGTGTTCTTATAATGGCTAATTATGAGATCATAAAAGTAAAGTGTAAAGGTTCACTTTCAAAAATAAGTATTGGTCTTTCATCTAACATATTTTATTGCAATAGTAAGAAAAAAATAACATAGATTTAACATAGATTTCTTTTTTGATCGAGAGTTGTCATCTGTAAGAATCAGGCAGAGCTCATTAGTGAGACTCTTCAAAATTGTTACTTTTTTAATAGGCTGTTGCTTTTTATACTATAAGATCAATACTAAAATATTTTTCAAAAAATCTTTTATTTAGTTAATACTAAAATAATTAATTATTAATCGAATGGTGTCAAACGCATTTTCAAACTTGAAAATAGAACAAAACCCATACATTTCCATAGTTATTTCATTTCATTATTATTTATTAGCTAATTGAAACCTAAAAAACGATAAATGGCACATACTGTTTGCAGATTGTTTGTCTAAATATCATGCTTTAAACATTCGAAAAAATTTATTTTTTGTTATTATCAATCTTCATTTTCATCCAAAGTTTTCAGTAGACTGTATTAATAAAACTATATTTGTTTTTTCTTACTGTCTTTATGAATATCTTTACTCAATATATACATTTGCAAATAACCCCTAGGGTATAATAAACATAAACGTTATATACAATATAATATACAACGCGCCCACAACATTCCTTCTGACGCAACGCAACAATAGTTTATTTTATAATACAATTATTTACGCTTATTACAGCACCCCTTGATCTCTAGATCACAAAGTCCGCATACTTTTTCAGAAACTTCTGCACACGCATCCATCTTCTGAGATTCAGGTTATTCGCGATGGGTTCTTCCGATTCTCTAGTAGACAAGTCAGCTACAATGGGAGCAGAACGGACATCCGACATGTGTCTCGGCAATCCATTGATTTCTACCAAACTCTTTGTCCTTCATCTGAGACTCTTCCTTTGTTCCATTCACTTGCACATTTTGAGTCAGTGGGTTTTACAAATACTTCTTATCCTTGTGTATAGTTGTGGAGAACTTCCTCCTTAGTTTTGGCAGAAATTGTATGTGGTTTCCACTCAGGAAAATATAGCTTTGTAGGGGAGCGATGTTTTCTCGCCATTCTGGTGGCCTGTAAGCACAATGAAACAGGATGGGCATAATTCATATTTCTGCGCATAATTCACCAAAACGTTTTGAGTGAATTATGCTTTCTCGTTCTGTAGCTTTCTCCAAATTTTGTTCAAAATTTTGCCACAGTCAATAATAGACAAACAAATCTCTGACTTATAATGGGTTATGTCAATAGCTAAACGACCCAGCTCTTTCTAACTTCAAGATTTCCTTCTTCCCATCTAATTGGTGTAGGATCCACCGATAAACATCTTTTGCAACTTTTTACGACTGATTCAACATTTTTTCTACAAACTTTCTCCTTTGGATATGTCTGTTTCATCAAATAAGGGGTTAAATTTACTCCAAAGTGGTGAAGAATATGAAATGATTTCACATCAGGCGGTACAACATTTGCTGTCATTGCAGAATGGTTTGAATGCAGCCAATTCTGTGGTACCCTCGTAAGAGCATCGGCTTTATTTTCTGCTGACTTTACAAGGAAAAGTTTTAATTGTATACCGCATTCCTTCACAAGGTCTTCAATTAATGATGATCGGCGACGGACAAGTTGTTCTCCAAGACCGTGTACTCGAACGGGTTTGTCACCAATAATTAAGTAGCTCAACCAGCTGACAACAGTAGCCAAGTCACACTTTATGGCTATTTATGACATTCAAATCTCCATTTTGTTGCTAAATTAATTCCTTTTATCACAGCTTCTAACTCTGCGAGATTAATGTGAGATAGAATTAAACTTATTTCGGCAACAATTGTTGTACAACAAAAACGCACAACTGCTGCACAACATTTCTACAACTATTGGAAACCAAGCTTAAGTTATTATTTTTCGGTACTTTACTAGATGAAGGTTTATAATAATAATAATAAAATAAGTCTGAGAATCTCATGGCTTTAGATGAAAATGAAATCAATCAAGTATGGAAAAAAATCAATTTTTTTGTACTATTGAAGCATGATATTTAGATAAAAAGAAACTATTTCATTGTTTTTAGGTCTGAACAAGCCAATTATCAAGTGAAATACACTATTAGATATACTTTGCTATATAGATATGCTTTGGACTACATTTGGTCAATATTTCTTAAAATTTAGTCAAAGTTTAACTAAACTTTTTTTCCTATATAGTTCAAATTAGGGAGATTGTACTGAATCTGTAGTGCCAGTTATTAATCTGTAGTTATAAAAAAGGAAAAGATCCGGTCAACCAAAAATTATTAACAAAAGAGGTGAAAATTTGATAAAAAGAATGGTGATAAATAATCCAAGAATCTCTTCAAAGGAAATATTGAAACTATTTGAATTTTTGAAAGCATTGAAAATATTGTTGCAACTTACAGAGTGGCCACATAAAATTTTTATAAGAAAAAGAAGATATTAGAGGATTTTTGAGGAGATTTTGCATTAAATTTAGAGGATTTTTTTTGCAAAACTACAAAATTTTGAATAAAAATAGAGGATTTTAGAGGATTTTTTTTTCAAGGTTTAACGCCTGTTTCCACATAACTGGGGTTTGGACAGGGGTCAACAATGTCATTATTTGTTAGATGACATGGATTTGCTACAATTAATTTTTTACAACCCAATTCTCATTTCAAACTTTACGCATTTTGCAGACCATGAATTTTGAACATTTTACTACCATCAAGAAATAAAAAATAATAAAAAAAAGAAGTTAAAGAGGAGATTTTATGATATTTTTAACTTTTTAGAGGATAATAGAGGATTTTAGAGGAGGTTTTTGAAAAAAGAAGACTTTAGAGGATTTTAGAGGAGCTGTGGCCACCCTGACTTAATTTACACACATTTATGTGTGTAATATATATATGATATATATATATGATATATATTATATATATATATATATATATATATATATATATATATATATATATATATATATATATAAATATATATAAATATATATATATATATATATATATATATATATATATATATATATATATATATATATATATATATATATATATATATATATATATATATATATATATATATACTTTTTTTTTTTTTTTAATTTTATTCCATACTTCCACGTTATACTTTTGTTACCAATTCTTTTCTTCTTTTTTCTTTATGCGTTTAAACATTAATCATGATTAATATTTAATTATTTCTTTTTTAATTAATTATAATTAATATTGCCAATAACTTTAACAAGAAAGATTAAATATAGAAACACATATGCTGATATCAGAATATAACAACATGCTGAATGCTCGAATTATACAGTAGAACCCGTTAACTCGGACTCTGAAAGGGTATATTAGGGAACGAAAAATCGACCATTTGCGGTGATCGGACTTCTGCGGTGATAATCGGTTATCAACTAATCGCAGCGGCTGGTCATTGCGGTGCGCGATGATGCATTGGCCGTGACAGCGGTTAGAGGTGTGTGGTGATTGTCGGTTTTCGGTTTTCAGACCATCACCACAGAAGTCCGATCACCGCAAATGGTCGATTTTTCGTTCCTTATGGTATATATGTTTTTTGTCCGACTTAGCGAATGTCCGAATTAAGCAAAGGTCTCGTTGAGTCAGACTTTTTGAAAACGTCCAAAATTAAGATTTCGAGTCTTAACGAATGTTCCTTGAAATATAAATATTATGTACATATATTTAGAACTATATAATCTTATGTGAAATATATATTTTTGCATATATGCTATAAACAAAAAAAGTCCGAAATTGATGTTTTTTTCAAAGTTCTACTTGATAGCTTTTATTTAGCAACCTACGACATTTTTAGTAATAAAACTTGATCGAAGTATAACCGAATCGAAGATATAAATGAAAATGTTTAGTTCGTTAAATTACGTTTGACGCAAAAAGTAATTAGTTTTCGAACGTTCTAAATTTTGAATTTTAACTGATATTTTTCAAATTTTTAATGTAATAGTTATCAACAAATAGAATTTAATCGAGGTTTAACTGATTCGAAAGAACTCCGTGAAAATGTTTAGCCATGTTTAATTATATTTGACGCAAAAAAATTATATAATTGAGCGTTTACAGTTTGGAATTTTTATTGAAGTATAGGAGGTTTTGTTATATGTACTTATATACAAATCAAAATAATAATCCTAGTTAAGCGAAGTTTTTTGGCGAAGGGACCTCAAAAAGCAGTACGAGTTAGCGAATGGTCCGACTTTACCAGGGTACGACTTAAGCGGATGATTTTACAGTAAGTTGATAGAGAATGTTCAAAGGAAATTGAAATTCCGTCCGACTTAGTAAAAGTCCGACTTATCCAGGGTCTGAGTTAACGGGATTCAACTGTAACTACATTTCGAAGTTTCAGTTGCTTATTTATAAAAAGAAGTATGTTTGAGTTTTAAATGAATTTGATTAAACAATAGAATTTATTTGTTTTTGGATTAACACATTCTCATATACTAAATATAACCAACGAAGTATTTTTATTATGGAACTTTAAGTTTAAAACTAATAGCAACATGATAGACAGATAAAATCCGCGCAAGTGACAAGTAAAAAAATAAATATAAATATTATGACTTCTACCAGTTGCTAAATTTTAGGTTGCCAATCTTTTTATTTTTGTATTT